CCATCGACATGTACATCCCTAATAACTCGTCCATGGAGCAGCCGGCCGGTTTGACCCACTCGGCCTTAACGCACAAGAGGGCGCCACCGAAGGGGACGGGCGCCGTGGGAACGATCACCACCCGGTAGTCCACGCCGTTCATGTGGATGAGCTTGGCGGTGGGCATGAGAGCGGGGATGCCTGCCGAGAGGTCGTCGCCGAAGTAACAGATGACGGGCGCCATCCCCTCGATCGAATCTTGCTTGCGATCGAACATGCTGGTGAGATTCTTCGACGCATCGTAGACGGTGTTGACGACCGGGACCCGACCCAGCGCGCTGTCCATGACGACGCGCAGACTCCGGCCGGGGCCGCGTTCGACCAAGATACCCACGAGGTAGATCATCAGCACCACGCCCACCAGCCCGATGACATAGGCGGTGGCTTCGCACGCCGAGACCGTCATGCCTGCCGAGCGAAGCAGCTTGCCGAAGCTGCTGGAAGGGCCGACAAGATTGTGAAGAAACACAACAAGCCAGGCCAACACCGCCAGCGTGAGCGCTAGGGGCAGAACGCCTAGGATGCCGGTCAAGTAGGTGCGGGATATCCGTTGCCAGAAGGTCAGCGGAACCATTGGTTCGGACATGAGGTCTCTGGGGATCGCCTCCGCACACGAAAGACGCAATGCCGCTTTAGAGCCGATTCTAATCCGCGCAGCTAGACCCGCACAACGAGTTCGCACATTGTCCAGAGTGATGACCTCTTGATGGGTTCTTAGTCGCAACCGTCGACGGGGCGCGGCGGGTAACCGCGTGGCTAACCGGGTTTATGGTGGACATTCGCAGGGTGCGGGTTAAGCTACGCTCGCCGATTGCGTCCGGCCTGCTCCTTGCACGTGAAACAGCTTGTGTGGCCTCTTGCCACCTAGCTATTGAGCGCCCTCCGTGACGTGTTCAGCTGAGCTGGCGACTTTCTTACCACGAATCGTCTGCGTATGAGCACCGAGCTCGGAATCGTTCTTGGCCTGCTGTCGGCAGCGATCGTGATGTTCGCGGTCAATAAGCCGCGGATGGACGCGGTGGCGCTGATCATGCTCACACTGCTCCCGTTTACGGGGGTGGTGTCGATGAGCGAAGCCCTGGCGGGATTCAGCGACTCGAACATCGTGCTGATCGCCGCGCTCTTTGTGCTTGGCGATGGCCTGGTGCGCACCGGGGTGGCCCAGGCATTGGGAGACTGGCTGCTGGCCCGCGCGGGCGAGAGCAACACGCTGCTGCTGATGCTGCTGATGGTTGTCGTCGCGGGCCTAGGAGCCACCATGAGCTCAACCGCCGTGACAGCGATCTTCGTTCCTGTCGGGTTGCGCATCGCTCAGAACACGGGCGTAGCACCTAGCAAACTCATGATGCCGATCAGCTCCGCCGCCTTGATCAGCGGCATGATGACGCTGATCGCTACGGCGCCAAACTTGGTGGTCAATAGCGAACTGGTGCGCCACGGGTTCGACGGGTTTAATTTTTTCAGCTTCACGCCGTTCGGCGCGGTAGTGCTCGTGCTGGGGGCGGTGTATATGCTCATCGCCCAGCGCTGGCTGCCGGCCGGTGAACAGGAGGGCGCCGCCGCCAGCGGCAAGCCGACGCTTTCGGATTGGATCAGGGAGTACGGCTTGTCCGCCCGAGAGCACCGCCTGCGGGTCCTTGCGGACTCTTCGCTTGTAGGCCACACGGTGGCCGAGGCACGGATGCGGGATACGTCCGGCGCGAGCCTTATCGGAATCGAACGCCATGGCCGGCTTATCGAACCCCACGCCAATACCGAACTCCACGACGGGGACGTGCTCTTTGTCGATCTCTACGCCGAAGACCCCGACGTGGACGCTCTGCGTCGACAGTTCTCTCTCGAACCGCTGCCACTGACCGGAGCGTACTTCAGCGACTACCAGCAGCAGATTGGTATGGCCGAGGTGGTGGTCCCGGCCTCGTCCAACCTGATTGGTAAGTCGCTCGTCGAGTCGGACTTCCGTCACCGCTATCGGCTGACCGTCATCGGCTTGCGGCGCGGGACCACGGCCATTACGCGGTCGATCGAGAACGAGCCGCTCGTCGCCGGCGATACGCTGCTGGTAACTGGTCCGTGGGACGCTGTCCGCGGCTTACAAGTCGATCGACGCCATTTAGTGGTCTTCAATCTGCCTGCGGAAATGGACGAGGTGCTGCCGGTCCCGGGCAAGGCCGCCGTAGCGGTAGGGTGTCTGCTGCTGGTCGTGGGGCTGATGGTCAGCGGCCTTATTCCCAACGTCCAGGCCGCACTCCTCGGCTGCCTGCTGATGGGGGCCTTTGGCTGCATCAACCTCAACACCGCTTATAAAGCGATCGACTGGAAGACCATCGTCTTGATCGTCGGTATGCTCCCGTTCTCAATCGCCTTGGACCGCACCGGGGGCGTCGATCTGGCTGCCAACGGCCTGATGGACCTCATCGGCGAAGCGGGGATCTACGTTGTGCTCGCGACGCTCTTCGCGTTGACAGCGATCCTCGGCATGTTCATTTCCAACACCGCCACAGCAGTGTTGATGGCGCCCGTCGCGATCACGCTCGCCGGGGACCTGGACGCTTCCCCCTACCCGTTTGCAATGATTGTCGCGCTGGCCGCCTCGGCGGCGTTCATGACGCCCGTCTCTTCGCCGGTGAACACACTGGTCGTGGGCCCGGGCAACTACCGCTTCTTTGACTTCATCAAGGTCGGGGTGCCGTTCACTGTGATCGTGCTGGTGGCGAGCGTCTTGCTGGTGCCGCTGCTGATTCCCTTGGCTCCACCGCTTCCGTGACTTTATTGCTGCAAATAGCCGCGGCCTATCGTTGTACACGCTCTTCGCTGGCTTTCCAATCCAGCGCTGCTGGCGCTCGATCGATTTCAGGTTGATTGGAAGAATAACGTCGTTTCGAAACTCAGACCGCTGGCAGGATCACGATGGCGGGCGAGCAGGAAGAGAAACGTCTATCGCTGCTGCAAAGGACGCTCGACCTCGTCGAACGCGTCGGCAATCGGGTCCCGCATCCGGTGCTAATCTTCTTGGCCCTGATCCTGCTAGTGATCGGGCTCTCGCACGCGCTCTACCTTACGGGCGCAGAGGTCAACTATGACGTCATCAACCCGGAGACGCACAAGATCGAAAGAGCCACCACCGCGGCCCGCAGCCTGCTGACCGCGGACGGCATCCGCAACATGGTGACTGGCCTGGTGCCGAACTTCATGGGCTTCTCGGCAATCGGGCTTTTGATCGTAGCGATGCTCGGCGTCGGCGTGGCGGAAGAGTCGGGGCTGATCAATGTGCTGATCCGTACGCTGGTGGCCATCTCGCCCGGTTGGGCGCTCACGTACATCCTGGCGTTTGTCGGGATCCTTTCCAGCATCGCCTCGGACGCCGGGTACGTGGTGCTCATCCCACTCGCCGGCGCGGCTTACGCCAGCCTGGGCCGGCACCCGCTGGCGGGCATCGCCCTGGGCTTCGCCGCGGTCGCAGGGGCGTTCAACGTCAACATGCTCATCAAGCCGCTCGACGCGGTCATGACCGAAATCACGAACGACGCCATCCACATGGTCGATCCATCACGGTCGATCGACCTGATGGCGGGGTTTTGGTTCTCATTGGCCTCGGTCCCGTTCTTAGTCATCGTAATCGCGCTCGTAACGGACCGCTTGATCGCACCGCGATTGGGCGCCTACGCCGGTGAATCCGAGGGCCCACCCGCCGGCGCCGTACGGACCCCGGCCGAGACGCGGGGCCTCGTCTACGCCGGCCTGGGGTTCTTGGCGGTGCTGCTGCTGTTTGGCGTCCTATCGCTTCCCGACGCCGCCCCGCTACGTAACCCCGAGACTGGCGCCCTGATCGGCAACTCGCCGCTGATGAACGGCCTCATCGTCCCGATCATGCTGGTCTTCCTGGTCATGGGCGTTGCGTTCGGTGTTGGCGCCGGGACCATCAAGACGCCAACCGAAGTGATCTCGGCAATGATCAAGGCGGTTTCGGGGCTGGGGGGCACGATCGTGCTCTTCCTTGTCATCAGCCAATTCATCGCCTACTTCAACTACAGCAACATCCCCACGCTGATGGCGATCCGAATGGCCGAGGGGCTCAAGTCCGCTAACGTCGATGCGCTATGGCTGCTGTTGGGATTCATCGTCGTTGTGACGGCGCTGAACATCGTCTTCACCCCTGCGATCGCCAAGTGGGCGATCTTCGCGCCGGTGTTCGTGCCGCTGTTCATCACGCTGGGCGTCGATCCGGCGGCGGTGCTGTCCGCTTATCGCGTCGGCGATTCGCCCACCAACACGCTGACGCCGCTGAACGCGTACTTCGCACTGGTGGTGGGGTTCGCACGCCAGTACGACACCAAGGCGGGCGTCGGCACCATTGTGGCGCTAATGCTCCCGTATGCAGTCGCGATGTCCGTCTTGTGGGCGGGGCTGTTCGCAGTCTGGTACTTGCTAGGCCTCCCCTGGGGATTGCATTGACCCGGAGGGCCGCAACAGACGCTTTCACTTCCTCCTCGGAATGACTCTTCCTTTCATACGCAACAGACATGGGCAGCGACACGATCCCGTTCGACGAAGCCTCGGCCGAAGCGCTGCTGATGCGTTTTCTGGCGGTCGATGGCGTCACCGGCCACGAGGCGGCGATCGCCGCCGAGGTATCCGCCTCGCTAGTTGAGGTCGGAGTGCCGCCGTCGATGATCAAGTACGACGATGCCCACAAACGCATCCCGCTGCCAACCGAGACCGGTAACCTGATTGCAACGATGCCGGGGACTCGGCCTGGCCCGCGGCTCTTATTCTCGACGCACCTCGACACCGTACCGCTGTGTGCCGGCGCCAAACCCAAGCGGGAAGGGGACCGCATCATCAACGAGGCAGCGGGCGCCGCTCTGGGTGGCGACAATCGGACGGGCTGTGCGGTGCTCGTCGCGATGGTCGAGACGCTGCTCAAGCACAACCTGCCGCACCCGCCGATCACGCTGCTGTTTACGGTGCGAGAAGAGAGCGGCCTGCACGGCGCCCGCGAGCTCGACCCCGACGACCTGGGCGGCGCCGCGATGGGCTTCAATGTCGATGCTCAGGTCCCTGCGAACCTAGTGATCGGCGCCGTCGGCCAGGTGAACTGGCAGGCCGAGATTCACGGCAAGGCGTCGCACGCGGGCGTCGCGCCAGAGAAAGGAATCTCTTCGACGCTGGTCGCTTCGATCGCGTTGGCGGAGGCCCACAAGAACGGCTGGTTTGGCAAGATCAATCGCGCCGAAGGGAAGGGAACCAGCAACCCCGGCATTTTTGAGGGGAAGCCCGGCGCGTCCGCAGGAGACGCCACCAACGTCGTGACCGATTACGTCCACCTCGTCGGCGAGGCGCGGAGCTTCGATGAAAACTTCGCGGTGCAGATCGCGGCGGCCTACGAAGCGGCCTTCGAGACGGGCCGATTGGCGGTCGCTGATTTGGACGGCAACCACGCCAAGGTGAAGTTCACCGCCAAGCCCTCCTATCCGCCTTTTCAACTGCCGGAGGATTCACCCGCGGTCGATCGCGCGAAGCGGGCGGCCGAGACGCTTGGCCTTTCTGCGATGACGTTGCACTCCAACGGCGGGCTCGACGCCAACTGGCTCGTGCGACACGGCGTGCCGGCGGTCACGATCGGCGCCGGCCAACACGAGATCCACACCGTCAACGAGTTCGTTGACCTGCCTCAGTACTTCGATGGCTGTCGGCTCGCTATTGCGCTCGCCACGCTCGACGATTGAAACACCATTCCCGACACGCCATGTCCAAGACCCCATCAGCAGGCGCGAACAAGCCCGCCCACTACGTCTCGACCGGTCACCTGCCGACCCCCGATTCGATTAATGCGCTCGTTGCCGAGGCGTACTCGCTTTACAAGTCGAACACCGAGGGGCAGAACTCGCAGGTCTATCCGGCGCTGCAGAGAGTCCCTTCCGATCTGTTTGGCATCTGTCTCGTCGGGACCTCCGGCAACACGTACGAGATCGGCGACTCACGGCACGAGTTCACGATCATGAGCGTCTCCAAGCCGTTCGTCATGGCGCTAGTGTGTGAGGCGCTAAGCCCCGCCGAGGTGCGTGAGAAGATCGGCGTCAACGCCACGGGCCGAGCGTTCAACTCACTCGAAGGGATCGAACGCGGCGACGGCGGCCGCACCAACCCGATGGTCAATGCCGGCGCCATTGCTACTACAAGCCTCACTCCAGGGAAGACCCTCCACGACAAGTGGCGATTCATCCATGAGGGCCTCTCGCGCTTCGCCGGCAGAGAACTGCCGCTGTGCGAAGAGGTCTACAAGTCAGCGAGTGAGACCAACTTCCGCAATCAGTCAATCTCCCGCATGCTGCAAAGCTTTGGGCGAATCTATATGGACCCGGCCGAAGCGACTGACCTGTACACCAAGCAGTGCGCCCTGAACGTCACCGCCAAAGACTTGGCGACCATGAGCGCGACGCTCGCCGGCGGAGGCGTGAACCCCATCACCAAGGAACGCGTCGTCTATGCCGACGTTTGCCATTACGCGTTGGCGGTGATGGCGACAGCGGGCCTCTATGAGACTTCCGGCGATTGGCTTTACGAAATCGGCCTCCCCGGCAAGAGCGGCATCGGCGGCGGCATCGCCACGGTCTCGCCCGGCAAGGGCGGACTCGCCACTTTCGCTCCGCCGCTCGACGCCGCCGGCAATAGCGTGAAGGGGCAGTTGGCTACCAGGTACCTCTCCCAAGGGCTCGGTATGGACCTGTTTGTTTCTCAGCCCGAAGCGTGAACCACCTCCTCCCCATCGCGCCCGGCGAACATGAGCCAAGCCAAGTCCCCCATCATCGATCAAGACGCCCGCGCCTCGTGGTTGCCGATGATTGTCATCGCGATGGGGCAGATGTTGATGTCGTTCAACGTGGCCGCCATCCCCGTGTCGATGGGAGGGATGGTCGAAAGCTTCCAGACCCCGCCAACGACGGTCGGCACCGCGGTGGTGCTGTACTCGCTTGGGGTCTCCGGCTTCATCATGCTGGGCGCCAAGTTGAGCCAACGGTTTGGCTCGAAGATTTTCTTTCAGATGGCGGTCGCGCTGTTCCTCGTGGCGATGATCACCATCGTCGGCAGCCCCACGGCGGAAGTCATGCTCGCCGGGCAGGCGATTGCCGGGCTCGCCGGCGCGGCGTTAGTGCCGACGCTCGTGGTGCTGATTGCGGATCACTACCGCGGCAAGCAACAGGCAGAGGCCGTCGGCTGGCTCGGCTCGGCTCGGGCCATCGCCGGCGTGCTGGCGTTTGTCATCGTCGGGTCGGTCGCCACATGGCTCAGCTGGCGATACGCCTTCGGGTTATTGATCGTGCACGCCGCGATGCTGCTACTCTTGAGCTTCAAGCTCAAACGCTCGCACCCCAACCCCAAGGTCGGCATCGACCTCTTCGGCGTGTTGCTCTCGGCGTGCGGCGTGATCCTGATCACGTTCGGTTTCAACAATCTTAGAAACTGGGGCGTTACGATCGCCAGCCCCGCGGCGCCATTTGACATCGCGGGCGTTTCACCCGCCCCCGCGATGATCGTGGTGGGGGTCGTGGTGCTGGCCGCGTTCTTCGCTTGGTCGCAGGGCCGCGCCAAACGGGGTAAGACGCCGCTATTGGCGCTGGATGTGGTTGATTCGCCGTTGGAGTGGGGTACCGTCGTCGCGCTATTCTGTATCGTCAGCATCGAGGGCGCCATCAACTTCTCGGTGCCGCTCTACATCCAGATCGTTCAAGGGAACACCAGCCTTGCGACCTCGATGGCGATGATGCCATTCATGCTCACCGTGTTCTTTACCGCGATCTTAATCGTACGGCTCTACAAGCGGTTCACGCCTCGCCAGATCGCCACGGGGGCGTTCCTCCTCGTGGCAGCCGGCACGGCGTGGCTCGCGTTTGTGATCCGAAACGACTGGAGCGTCCCGCCGGTGATCGCCGGTCTGGTGATGGTGGGCCTCGGTCAAGGGGCGCTGGTAACGCTGCTCTTTAACGTGCTGGTTACCGCATCCCCAAAAGAGCTCGCCAGCGACGTCGGCTCGCTCCGCGGCGTGACGCAAAACCTCGCAGCGGCGGTCGGAACCGCGCTAGTGGGGGCGATGCTCGTTGGCCTTCTCACGTCGGTTATCGTCGCCAACCTGGGGGACAACCCCGTCCTCAAGGCTGAGCTCGCCGACCACGTGAACCTCAGCAACCTGAACTTCATGAGCGACGCCCAGCTCGAAGAACGGCTCGGCGGAGTTGGCGTCTCGCAGCTGCAAGTCACCGAAGCGTTGCAAATCAATCGTGACGCCCGGATGCGTGCGCTCAAGACGGGCTTCTTCGTGCTGTCGGGCGTCGCTCTACTGGCCCTTGTGCCGTGTCGATGGCTTCCCGCCTACCGCCCGCACGAAATCCCCGGTGAGGCGACCAGCAGAGTCAAACGCAGTAATTGACGGTTGATGGCTATCCCAATGCTTTGCCGCAGCCTACAAAGCTCGCACAGCGGCACACTCGATTTCGCTGTCGTCTTCTCCCCGTTGTCTTCACACGATTGGAAGCAGGCCCATGCGGCACGCCCCGACCCGCCCCACGCCGGGCGGACTGTTAACCCTAGCCGCCGTCAGTTTGATCGCAGGCTGCGAGCAGGCCGAGCCCGTCCGGGTCGATCGGCCTCGCCCGGTTAAGACCGTCACCGTCTCCGCATGGGAAGATGCGCATACCCGCGTCTTCCCGGGCCGCGTCGAGGCGTCTCGCCGTGTTGAGCTGGCATTTCAGGTGGCCGGCGTGATAACAGAGCTTCCAGTCAAAGAAGGCCAAGAAGTTTCCGCCGGGGACATGATCGCACAACTGCGGACCGACGAGTTCCAGGCGCGACTCGAAGCCCTGATGGGACGTCTCGACCGCGCCCGGGCAGAACTGCAATCGGCGCTTGCCGGCGAACGCCCCGAAGAGCGACTGCGTCGGNNCCCGTCTAGCTAACGCCCAGACCGAGTACGAGCGATACGCCCGCTTGCTGCCGGGCCGCGCGATCAGCCGTGCCCAGTACGACCAGGCCGAGACCGCCGTCCAAGTTGCAGACGAAGCCTACCAAGCGTCGCTACAGATCCTAGAGAAAGCCGGCATGGCGCGGGAGGAAGAAGTGCTCGCCCGACGCGCCGATCTTCGGGGCTTAGAAGGCCAAGTGGTCGAGGCGCAGCTACAACTCGACGACTGCACGTTGCGGGCGCCGTTCGACGGCGTGATCGCCCAGCGGTTTGTCGAACAAGGCGAGAACGTCCAGGCAAAGCAGCGCGTCGTGCGGTTCCAAGACGTGGACGAGATCGAGATCATCCTCGACGTTCCCGAGAGCATCATGGCGGCCGACATCCGCACCGCGGAGATCGTCTCGATGGTCGCACGGTTTACTGGCGCACCGGGGATCGAGTTCCCCGTCACCATCCGGGAAGTCGCCCAGTCCGCTGACCCCGTGACGCAAACCTTCCAGGTGCGCGTCGTCATGCAGGCGCCCGAAGGCGTCCGAGTGCTGCCCGGCATGACGGCTACCGTAACCGCATCGTTCCGCCGCGCGGCGGTGCTGGGAAATCGCATCCTGGCGCCCGTCACCGCGGTATCGAAGGACGCTTCGGGTCGGCAGGTGGCGTGGGTGCTCGACGACGAAGGCAAAGTCGCTCCGCGACAGGTGAAACTAGGAGAAGTGACCGGTGGGCAGGTCGAGGTCCTCGAAGGACTCGAACCGGGTCAACGCATCGCCTCGGCCGGGACGAGTTTCCTCCGCGAAGGCATGAAAGTGCGTGATCTGGGCGACGCGTTGGGGGTTACCGCACAATGAACCCTGGTGTCGTATCCGTCAACAACAGCCGAGTTGTCTTCGCGGCAATGGCGCTCCTGCTCGCCGGCGGCATCGCCGCGTACATGAACATCGGGCGTCTGGAAGACCCCGAGTTCACCATTAAAGAAGCGCGGATCATCACGCTCTACCCCGGGGCCAGCGCCGAGGAAGTTGCGCAGGAAGTAACCAACCCGATCGAAACCGCCGTCCAGCAGCTCGGTCAGCTTGAGCGCGTGACGAGCGAGTCGCTCCGCGGGCGGTCGGTCGTCTCGGCGGTCATCAAGGATCGCTACGACCGCGACCGTATCCCGCAAGTGTGGGACGAGCTGCGCCGTAAGATCGCCGACGTACAGCCGCAGCTCCCTCCTTCAGCGCGGGGGGCGTCGATCGTCGTCGATAACTTCGGCGACGTGTACGGAATCTTCTTCGCGATCACCGGCGAGGGGTACTCGTTCCCCGAGGTCCGCCGGTACACGGAGTTCCTCCGTCGCGAGTTGCTGTCGGTGCCCGGGGTGAAGAGCATCGAGCTCTTCGGCGCCCAGCAAGAAGTGGTGTTCCTCGAGATCAGCCGCCACCGTTTAGCGCAGCTGGGCGTCAATGAAGAGCAGCTCTACGCCAAACTCCAGGAGCGGAACGTCGCCGCTGATGGCGGCCGCGTGAGGGTCGGCGACCAGCACATCCCGATCGACCCGCAGGGCGAGTTCGAGACGGTCGATGCGATGCTGCAGATCGTGATCGGCTCGGATAGCACTGGCCGGCAGCTCACGTTGGGCGACGTTGCGACCCTCGTGCGTGGCGATCAAGACCCACCGCGGCGCCTGCTGAAGTTCGATGGCAAGTCGGCGGTCGGCCTCGGCATCTCCACTATCCAGGGCGGCAACGTTGTCACACTCGGTGAGGCGATCCGCGCCAAGCTCGCGCAGCTCGAGCATTTGCAGCCTCTTGGCATCGAGATCGGCGAAGTCAACTTCCAGCCCGAAGCCGTCAGCCTAGCCACCGGCGAGTTCATCTTCAACCTGCTCAAGGCGGTCACCATCGTTTTCGTCGTGCTGCTACTGGCGATGGGCCGCAAGACAGGGCTGATCATCGGCGTCGTGCTGTTCCTCACCATTATGTCAACGTTCTTCGTCATGCACGCCGACGGCGACATCCTCATGGAGCGAATCTCGCTCGGCGCGCTGATTATCGCGCTGTGCATGCTGACTGACAACGCGATCATCGTGATCGAGGGGATCAAGGTCGGCATTGAGGCGGGCCGGAACAAGATCGATGTCGTCCGCGAAGTCGTGGCGGAAAACCAATGGCCGCTGTTCGGCGCGACGGCGATCGGCGTCATTGCGTTTGCCGCTATAGGTTTGTCAGAGGACAGTACAGGCGAGTACACGCAGTCGCTGTTCTGGGTCATCCTGATTGCGCTGAGCCTCAGCTGGGTGTCGTCGATCACGATCACGCCCCTGTTGAGCTACTTGATCTTCAGCCCCACGGCAGGCGCCGCTGACGCCGCATCTGGCGGCGCCGCGAATCCGAACAAGGCAAGCGCATACGACAGCCTGCCGTTCCGTATTTACCGGAACCTTTTAATCCTGGCGCTGCGGTACCGTTGGCTAGTGGTGGTGATCTCGATCGCCGCTTTTGTCGCGTCGGTCATTGG